CAGAGTGGAAGGACCGCTAGCAGCAGAGTGTTTGATGGTGGCACTGTACCTGGAGTAGGCGATAGGTGAGCTGGTAGCCCACGTGCGGCGTGTTGACGACAGAGCAGCACCAGACACGTGGGGACCACCACACCAGGATCAGACAGGTGGGACCACCAGCACCAGACACGTGGGGACCACCCGGATCAGACAGGAGGATCATACCAGGATCAGACCGGGTGGACCACCGCCAGTGAGGGGTGGACAGACGGCGTACTCACACTAGGACTTTTTCAACTGCTCTGCTGACGTAATTGCGACCAGATACGAAGAGGGACGGCTGGAATTGTGGTCAGATTCATTCATTTAGTGGAAGTCCTAGTGCGAGCATGTTCTAAGCTGGCCAGTCAGTGCTCGTCCTTATGCGCGGGTGCGCCGGAGAGAGAGGTCAGCCGGACTTGCGGATCTGAGTGCCTGCCACCTTGTCTTTTCCCACCACCTTCTCCTCCTCTACCTCCTCCTCCTCCTCCTCCTCCTCCTCCTCCTCCTCCTCTTTCTCTCTCTCTCTCTCACTCTCCCTCACCCCCCACCTCTCTTCTCTCTCACTCTCTCTGTTGCTCTCTCTACCACAGGCTTTCTGGGCAAGGAGGGTACCCAAGCCAGCGTATGCGCGGGTGAACACTGTAGCGCATCTGCGTCTGCTGCACCAGGCATCGAGAACAGACAGCTGAGGGTAGTCTGGCGGACATAGCTGCTGCCTTGGTGGCTTGTGGGTGATGAGAGGGTGGGAGGCTTGGCTGGATGAAGAGCGGCTGCTGTAATCTTCCCTCCTACCGATACCGCTCTCGGTCTTACTTCCATTGGAGCAGGGGGGGGTGTCATCGCGGCAGCCATATCCAGGACCATCAACCCGGACCTTATGGCCATGTACCGGCCGATGTCGCCATCGGCTACCCACCGCCTTGGAGTACCTGGGAAGAGGCAATGAGAACGAACAACTTTCCTGAAGTGGTTGATCGATCACACCTGAATTGGTTGGTTGATTGATTGATTAGATTGATTAGATTGACTGTTCGTTAATCGATCGATCGCTTAGATTGATTGATTGATAGGTTGGACCGGCAGGGGTGACTCTAGCCCAGCAGGAAGCAAAGATCGATCCGCGTAGATCAACCGATCGATTGATTGATTGATTGATTGATTGATTGATTGATTGATTGATTGATTGGATCAATCAACTGGTTGATGTTGATTGATGATATACCAGACACTCGGCGCTATCCTTAGCCGAGCCTACCCGAGTGTATTGCGACGAAGCTCGATCTAATCAATCACTTGATTGATTGATTGATTGATTGATTGATTGGTTGGATAATTACATGGTTGATGAGGTGAATGAGTGAGTGAGAAGAACTCGCAGCGGGCGGTGTTAGCCTTGCTTGGTCTAATATGTTATTTGACCGACGACAGTCTGGTCGATTTCCAGCCGTGGTTAGTCGATAGAAGAGAGGGAAACCATCCTTGAGACCGGCATCTTACATGGGAGTTGGAGGCGTCGTGAAGGTGTGGGGTGTTAAGTTATTCTCTCACCCATCTCGGACTGACAAATCGCTCCCAAGGAGGCAGCTTTCTAGTCCGGGTTGCTGCTCTACTTGATTAGGCCAATCCCGCCAGAAACAGGGGGCCGTCAAATTCCCAAACAGGTTTCAGCGAAGAAGCTGCTTGTCCCTCATTGCGGTAGGTCATCGGGATACCGTTGATCGACATTACGATCGGACGGTCTCCCGACCACCATCGGCTGCATATCCTGCATCCCGGTGGATGAGTTGCTGCTGCGGTGTGCACCATCCCCTCCTCCTCCTCTCTCCCTTCTCTCCTAATCTCCCTTCTCTCCTAATCCACCTTCTAGCTCCCCGGTACATAGGGGAGCGACCTTCTGCCGAGCCCATCGCTTGCTTACCTCTTAACCTTTTTAAGTCACTGACACAGACACACACACACACACAGAGAGAGAGAGAGAGAGAGAGAGAGAGAGAGAGAGAGAGAGAGAGAGAGAGAGAGAGAGAGAGAGAGAGAAAGAGAAGTTACCTTGTCGGTGGGCATACCCGGGAGGACAGTATTGAACGAGCCAAATCACGCCTATATATATATTACAGTATATTCATATATACTTGGGGGATCGGCTGGTGGTAAAAGTGTGGAGAGAGGTTGGGTGCAAGACTGCTGACGAGGCGACAGATGCATGTGTGTGTATATACTTTGTTTGCCGATATATAGATATATTTATAGAAAGGGAAGTCGGTGTCCTTGTGCTCAAATTTCCCCCCCGTTTTTTTCCCTTTTTTCCCGACACTCTCTCGATTAAAACGTGGTGATTTTTTCATCTTATGGTAATTCCGAATCGTTGGGCTCAATACTCTTCATCATGATGTTTGTGCAGCAAAGGGAGCTTATTAACTGATCAAACAGTAAATGAGGACGGGGCACAGAGAGGACAGCAAGTTTGCAGAGAGAGAAAGAGTTGAAGAGAAGGCGGTGGTGTGAAGGGAGCTGAAGAGGAAAGGTGGTTGCTTGTGTTGTAAAGGGGAGAGAGGGGGAGAGAGAGAGGGGGGAAGAGGAGAAAAGGAGACGGGTGAGAAAAGGAGAGGGGGAGAGAGGGGGAGAGAAGGGGCGAGAGGGGGGGAGAGGTGTTTCTTATGCGTAGAGGAGAGGGAGGTGTTCAATATAAGACGAAGTAGTTGCAGAAGGAAGTGTGCACAACAACGCCATTGGGGGAAGAGGAGGAAGGGTGGGGTTGAGCCCAAAGAACAGTTTGAAATTGGTTCCTTGTTGAGAGTGTGGGTGGGAGAGAGAGTGTGGGTGGGAGTAGGAGAGGTCGGTGGGAGGGCAATTTAGGTCGAATCAAAGCCGGCACGACCAGCTGTTTGCAGACGAGAGAAGTGGGGTTCGTCCGCAGCGCGCCAAACTGTTGCAAGGAGAGAAGAGTCTTTATCTGTCATTGCCCGCCAAGCTCTCGCACAAGGGAACGAGGGATCTCGATCACTGCGCGCCGAGCACTAATAGGCTCGGAAGGGAACGGAGGTGGGTCTGCGAGTGCGCGCCAAGCTCTCACACAAGGCTCTGTCATTGCAGGCCAAGCTCTTGCAGGAAGGAATCAAGTGACCATCGGGTTTTGCGCGGAGGGCAAGGGGAGGCAGGGGGAGGCAGGGGGAAGCAGGGGGAGCCAGGGGGAGGGTAGGCGGAATTTTCCGTGCCGTATCTGAGCGGCATCGCTGGCTCATCTCAAGCGTAGCGGGTGTTGCCGTTAAAACAGACATGTCGAAGTATCCTTGGCGCGCAGTGGCTTCAGCACTTGTCTTCTTCGCATTGATCTACATTTTGCCAATCCTTGTACGCGGAGATCGAGGTATAGTTGGCGGCAATTCTTTTTTCTTTTTTTAATATTAAAAAAAAATTCCGAGTCCTTGTACGAGGAGGTCGAGGTATACTTTTTGGGGCAATCCTTTTTCTGTAATTTTCTATTTTAATAAAATTTGCCAATCCTTGTACGAGGAGATTGAGGTATAGTTTGCCGCAATTTTTTTTTTCTTTCAAAAATTTTAATAGTAGAAAAAATTGCCAATTCTTGTACGAGGAGGAAGAGGTATTGCTTGCAGCAATCCTTTCTTTAAAACATAATAATTAAAAAAATCATTAAAAAAATTATAAAACTGCCAATTCTTGTACGAGGAGATTCAGGTATAGTTTGCATCAATCCGTTTTTTTTTTGTTTTTTTTTCAAACGAGTAAAATTTGCGCAAAAGACAAAAAAGCTGCCAATGTATCTTTGTACGAGGTGATCCAGGTATATAGGGCCTCGCTGCACTACTCTCGGCGTGCGCAAAAGACAAAAAAGCTGCCAATGTATCTTTCCATGTTCTAGCGGTGGATTCAGTCTCATTTTGCACATTTGGAGACTCAGTGCAGCGAGGCCCATAGTTTGCAGCAAATCCTTTTTTCCTTCTCCGATAAAATTTGCTAATACTTTTACAAGGAGATCGAGCTATAGTTTGCTCGAAAACCTTGTTAAACAAAAAAAAAAAAAAAACGCATCCGTGATGGAGGACCAAGTTCATTGAATTAATTAATGGCTCCGAATCTTTAATCCTTGATTAAAAAAATAAAATAAAATTCTCTGTTCAATTAATGGCGACGGATCTCTTCTTTGTAATGTACCATCTTCATCACCCGAATAGAACGCCTGGTCATGACCGGGCGGTCTATTTGGGTGAAATCGGTAGTTCGCTCTTTCTTCTCCCCCCGTTCTCTCCTCGCTACTTCTCTCCTCTCCTCCTCTCCTCTCTCATTTTTCCCTTCTTTTTTTTTTCTCTCATTTTTCCCTTATCCTTGTTCCTCTCCCATCCTCTGCTCTTCGATGCTCTTCTGTTATACAGTGCACCTTTCCCTTCTGTGCGCGGTCATCGTGATGATATTATTTATTCTGATTAATTCTTATTTATTATTAATATCATTATATTATTACTATTATTAGTGTCATTAATATTTTTTTTAATAAATATTACTCCTTTGGGCATTTAACTTTGACGTCTCCTTTTCCTTTCACGACCTACCACTACTCCCATTAATATTTTTTTATTATTATAATTATTACTCCTTTGGGCTATTCAGAACGCCAGTTCTGTGAGATGAGAGAAAATATATAGCTGTACCCCGATGAGGAGAAGATAAAAAAATAAAGTTAAAAATAAAGAGGAAGAAAAAAAAACTATGACGTTTCTAGCCGTAATTTCGGCCTTTTCTGAGCCGAGATAGTCGGGGCTTGCCGGGTTCCCGCCGGACCGGGGGCTAGGTTCCACTTGCACGCATTAAGAGATACTGACCGTAGATAGCAGAGATCAACGGCCCAAATCTCCTAATTTGCGCAAGTGGGACCTTGCCCCGGGTACGATGTGTGATGATTTCGTTACAAAAAACGCTGAGATAGCGGCGAGGAACGTCGAAGTTAAATGGCAAAAGGGGTAATAATAATAATAATAATAATAATAATTATCGTGATTAATTATTAAAAGCCGGAGGTTATCAGCTTTGTCATCTATATTCTCCCATTTCTTATTTACGGCTCTTGTCTTCGAATTCTTCTTTGACAGCCTTCGCTCCTCTCTCTCTCTCTCTCTCACCCACTCACCCAGTACTTCCAACAGCACCTCTCTTTCCCTTTCTCTCCGTTGTTCTGTCCTTCGCTCTGATCTCTCTCTCTCTCTCTGTGGCCCTTTCTCTGTCCTCTCTTTTCCTTTCTCTCCGTTCTTCTGTCCTTCGCTCTGATCTCTCTCTCTCTCTCTCTCTCTGTGTGGCCCTTTCTCTGTGCCTCGCTCCACTACTCACCACATGCACAAAGACAAAAAATGTGTTCGAATTTGGAAACATTGAGACAGTTGGCCGGTTTGGACTCCCGTGAGTATGGTCTGTACCTTGACGCTAACAGGTCCAGGTGCATTCTGACCGGCCTAGTTTCGGGTGGGCTATTTTTGTTCTTGCCCCTTCTGTTTTTTTTTTTTTTTTTCACTTTTTTTTGGGCGTTTTCGTATCTCTTCGCTTCTCCGTTTTCCAATGCCATTGATGTCTTTCTCACGTTACTTTTCTCTCTCTCCTCCTCTCTCTCTCTCTCTCTCTCTCTCTTCATGTTACACATCCTCCTCTCCCCCCCCCTTTCTCTCTCTCTCTACCCCCCTCCCTCTCTCATCCTTTCTCTTTCTCCTCCCCTCTCTCTCTCTTCATCATACGCATCCTCCTCTCTCTCTCTCCTCCTCTCTCCTCCTCTGTTTTCCTCTTGCGGTCGCAGTGTTTCTATTTCTTTTCCAATTATAGAATTATTACATTCCCTATTCTTCTTCTTGTTGAAAAAGGCGACGGACTTGAGATATCATCATTGAGCTGATCTGTCCAGGTAACTCTGAGTTATTTTTATTTCGTCTGAATTCCACTCTGAGTTATTTTTATTGCATCTGAATTCCAACTTGGGTCTATATTTCGACAGTTGATGGGTGTACCAACGGAGCTAGGCCCATTGGTCATTCCCTACTCTTCTGCTCTACCATTCCCAAGTCGTACTGTCCTTCTCTACCAGGTTCTCTTCTTTGAAGGTTTTTTTTATTAAATAAATGAATTACTTTATTTATTTACTTCTCCACGTTTCCCCTTTCCTTTTTCTATAGGATACTTCTCCCCTTGTCCCCTCCCTTTTTTTTTAATTCACGTTTTAAAAAAAATATTTTTTAAAAGTAAGTAATGGTATTTCATTTGCGCCGTAAAGTTCCCACTTATTCCCGACGATTAGAGTAACGGTATTTCTCCCCTCTCTCATGTCATTTCACAGAGTCGAAGTAGAGAGAGAGAGAGAGAGAGAGAGAGAGAGAGAGAGAGAGAGAGAGAGCGTAAAGCTCAACAACAGGGTCTTCTTTCCCCGACGATACTTCCAAGCCCGTTCCCTTGGCATTTCTTATTCCCGTCTTCCCCCGAATACAACATACGGTTAGTATTGCTGTATCTAGACTCGAATTTGCCTCAAATACAGATATTATAGCCGTACGTTGTGGTCTGCACCCGAATAGAACATACGGTTAGTATTGATGTATCCGGACTAAAAGTTGCCTCAAATACATTGTATTCCGGTGAAGACGGTAGACCCCTCTCAAATTTAATGGTTTCGCAGGATGGTAGATAAGGGGGGGGGCAGTGGGAATCTCGTTATTAATCCATTCATGCGGGTCACTAATTAGATGAGGAGGCATTTGGCTACCTGCAATGCAATCGAAAGCCCCCACCTCCGCCCCCCCCTTTTTATGCGTGTGACGCCTTGCGCAGGGGCCATTTGGTAATTACCCTTCTGTATCGTTCCAATTTTTACGGATGTCCCGAAAGTTCCCCCCATTTTATTTTATTTTATTATTTTATTTCATATATATATATTTTTTATTTTATTTTATTTTTTAGCTTCAGGTTCTCCTTTTTGTCATTTTTCCACGCAAGCCGAAGATACGTTTGAGCTTCAAAAGGACCTGAAGATATTTTATTTTATTTTATATGTATATATAGTTTGTCACATATAGTTTGTCACAGCCCCTCGTTTGTTGTCTTCTTCTCTCTCTCTGCCTACGGTTTACCGGGCAGTTATGTTTGTGACGATATATATATATTTTTTTAGCTTCAGGTGCTCTATTTGGGAGTCGTCGGAACCGCGCTCAACTGGTCGGTTGTGAGAAGGGCAGCCTGTCCCACCAGGGGCCAAGTCCCACTAGCAGGCGTTGAGCTACCTCAACGCCTGAATCTGGACGTGTTTGTGGAGAGTTGCAGTTCAGGATACTCAACAACATTTCCGCACATCTCCGCAAAAGCGTCCAGATTCAGGCGTTGAGGTAGCTCAACGCTGCGAGTGGGACGTGGCCCCAGCGTTAGTTTTTTTGAGCGCTTGTTTAATCAGATCGCCACCCAAACAATTTAAAATATTACTACTTCGATAAATAAAACAATTTAAAATAGTACTTCGAAAAATAAAAAAAATCACTCTGCTGGGGCCTCGTCCCACTTGCACCGTTGAGTTCAGCTCCCTCAACGGTGTGACAGCTTTTCAAGCAATTTTTTATTCCGTAGAAAAGAAGACTGCATTTTTTTTTTCTTCTTTCTTTCCCGCCCACGCATTTCTTTGGAATTTTCGTTTTCTTTCCCGTGGAGCAAATCAATCCTTGTCACTTGCCCCATTAGGAATATCGACCGGTCTTTTTCCATCTTTCCATCTTTCCATCTCTCTCTCTCTCTCCCTCTCTCTCTCTCTCTGTGTATGTGACGGATGTAGATATTGTGAACCTGAATGGGAAGTCGTCCACATTCAGGGCGCACGAACAGACAGTACAGCCCCGGATAAACAGCTATAGAAAGAACATTCCCGTGAATCGCGGATCAAAAAACGCTAAAGAACGCGCCGACAACGGATGTCATTGACTGAGACGTCAACAATCAACAAAAGATGAAAGAGGTAAGTAACAATGAAAAATACACAACTCACAAAAAAAAAGAAAAAAAAAGAAAAAAAAAAAAGATTGGGTTGAACTGGCTACAACGCAAAAAAAAGACAGCTAGCTCAACGCGAGGGCGCGAGGGTAGGGGCCTTTATATTCGAGTTGTGTAAGTTTCTTTGAGGTTATGTTATAATTTTATTAATTTAACAAAACAACAACCGCGTGGCTTTGCAGAAAAAAAAAAAGAACCGATGAATTGTCCTACGATTTTGCATCCCCGACGTCGCGCTTTGTCCCAGGTGATAGAAATCTCAACGTTGAGCTAACTCAACGGTGCAAGTGGGACGAGGCCCTGGGCTCAAACG